AAGACGGAGGCAGGCAAACTGTCACAGCTCTTGGTGGGGGACACCCCCACAGCACAGGGCCCCAGGAAATGGGGCTGACCTGAGGGGTGTGAAACTGTCACCACACTGGCTCAGCACCGCAGACAGGAATGCATGGACCAGCTTCCCAGGGAGGCTCAGAACCTCCACCACAGCATCAGGGGGATTTGCACACTCAAGGTTTGATAGGAATGAAAAAGGAGCCCATGACGAGTCTCCTACATCTGCCTGAGGGATCCGTGGGGGTATCTGAGATCCCTGGCAGTACCAATCATGCAGGACCCAGTACAGTTTGGGGAGAGAATGGATTCTGCTGGAAGGTGGGAGACATTAAACATTGCTCACCACAAGCAGCTCTCCCAGCTCCTGAGCGTCTCCAGGCTTGTTAAACAAATAAAGGCAAGTCCAGCCCAATAAAGCAAACAGAACTCTGACACGTGCAAATCTCCTGCTTCCTCTGTGATCCCAGGAAATCCTACCAACCCACAGTGATGGGATGGGGCTGCAGGGGGATGGAGCAGCCAGCACTGGTTGCCTGCCAGTGGCCAGAAACAGGCCACCAGTGTGTTCCTGCCTCACTGGAGAGAAATCCCTTTTTGCCTGCTCCGGCTTGGCTCAGCATCCCACCCTGCTTGGTGGGTGCCTGGCCTGGGCGATGTCTCCAAACCCACTTTTCCACTGGGCCCTGCCCCCAGCCGCAAGATTTCCTGCTGCTACCTGTTGAGAAACCGTCTGGGGCCTTGTGGCAATGTCACCCCACGTCACCTGCTTCCTGATCTAGTGAGGAGAGAAACCGCTACCAGAGAAACCGTCAGTAGTAACCGTGCATTGGCTGTGCCCTGAGCCTGCTCCCCAAAACTGCGGGGAATCTTCAGCCAAGACTGTCCCCCAAAGCCCATGAGGTATCTCCAGCTGGGGCTGTCTCCCAAAATCCTGTGGGGCCTCTGCAGCTTCCTAAGCTCTTTCCATCACTCCAACCAACACAGAGAGCAGGCAGCAGTCCCACAGCATGAGAGGGCTCCATCCTCTTTGGGGACTGCACCTCCTTAGTCCCCAAGCTGGGCAGGGGACTCACCTGAGCTGCATTAAGAACATCCCTTTTATTTTTCCCAGCCCATGGAGAGGTCTGGGAGCAGAAAGCAGAGCAGAGTCTGGCTAGCCCCGAGGGAGTGCTGGCACTGTGACATACGGGAGAGCAGGCACGTTCTCTCTGCATGGGGCAGCTCCAGGGCCCAGCACGGGGCCACACGTGAGGGACCTGGGATCATACAGGGGACAGCGAGCAAGACAGCACGGGGATAGAACATTGCTGTTCCCACCCAAATAAGCCCATCAAGGAGGTGCTGGAGTGATGTTTTAGCCAGGCAGTGATGAGAGCTGTGCCTGCAGTGGATCAGCCCAACCAGGGGAACAAGCACAGGCTAAAGTCCAACAGGAGATACAGCTCAAAACCACCTAATCCTCAGCAAAACCCTATGTTGATAGCAGCTCAGTGAGGCACCAAGGTCTTCCTGGGGCTCAGCATCAACACTGGGAAGGCTCCACTACACCAACCTCTCTGGGAACAGGTCATAAGATTTCCCCAGAAGGTTCCTCACAGTGGGAGCTCAAGAGGCTGCTGCCCAGGGAGCCATCCACATGTCTGTTGTAACAACAAACACGTCTTTGCTGGGTAAATAAAAAGCAGTATTCTCTCCCGGAGCCCCGAGCGTTTCTTAGGAACCGCTTGGGGCATGAAAGGTCAGCTGTTTCTCAATTCCTCACCTTTCTACATCACTTTGTTTGTGCAACTGCTCACTCCCACGCGTGCTTAAGGCCAACATTCCTGAGTTAGGAAGCGTCTGTGGGGACTGCCAGGATCAAGCCCCCAGCCCGGGAAGAGCTCTGCTATCTCCACTCCACAGCAGAGACTGAACACACTCAAAGCAGGAGTGACTACTACCAACACCAGCAGCCTCAGCCCCGAAAAACCTCTGCCACGGGTTTTTTGTTGTATTTGGCGGGGGGGGGGTTATTAACGGCCCCCCTCAGCCCAGTTCTGGGCTCAGCTGCACGTCAAAGCTCTCCCTGTTGCTTTTCTCACCCCGTTTTACCGGCCCCGCAGCACAGGACAACGGGTTCAGTGGTGGGTCCAACCAGCCCGGTGCGCCCGCCTACCCCCGCCCGTCACTGACACGGCTGGGAGACAGGACCATTTAGAGAGAAAAAAAACCATTTAAAATAAAAAAGGCAAAGCAGCCAGGCGCGGCAGGACCCGGGGCTTCTGGGGAGCCGCGTTTAAAGCAAAGTGAAAAAAAAAAGAATCGAGACCGAAACCACACAAACCGCCCAGGGCAGCCGCGGCTCCCGCTCGCTCGTTTGGAAGGCGACCGCGGCCGGTCGCAACCCCTCCTCTTCGGACAACACCCTCTGCCCCGAAAACTTCCGAGCCCCAGTCTCCCGGCCGCTCATTTACCCGCTGGTCGCCACCACCGGGCTCCCGCGCCGCGGGCTCCGCCGGCGCCGGAGCCGCCTGCCCGCCGACCACCGGCGGCTCGGCACCCGCCCCGCCCTGCTTCGGCAGCTGATCCTCGGCCGTCGAGTCTACGACGAGGAGGCTGACGGTGCCGGCGGCGGCGCGGATCCGCTCCACCACCTGCTGATGGCTCTCCCGCTCCACGTTCTCGCCGTCCACCTCCAGCAGCCGGTCCCCAGCGCGCAGCCCCGACCGCTCGGCCGGCGAGCCCGCCTCCACCAGACGGATGAACTGGCCCGGCTTGCCCTTCTCGCCGTGCAGGTGGAAGCCGTACCCATCCGGGCCGCGCTCCAGGCGACACAGCCGGGCGGCGGGGCCCGCGCCGCTGCTCATGGCGGGGGAAGCGGCGGAGCAGCAGCGGGCCGGTCCCGCCACCCGCACTCAGCGCACTGCGCGGCAACGGGCCCGCGGTACAGATTATATAGGGGGGCGGGGCGCGGGGCCGGCGGCCGCCAATCGGAGCCCGGGATGAGATGATGCCCGCCAAATAAGGACAGTAATGGGGCGTGGTTATGCAAAATTTAGAGGTGCGGTTATGCAAATGTAGCAGGCCGAATATGCAAATGTGCTCTCGCCCCGGTGGGGCGCTCTGGGCGCGGCGCCGCGGGGTCGCGGTGCCTGCAGCGGGACCGGACCGCTCCCGCTGGGGTCCGGCCCTTCCACTCCCCCGCAGCCACCTCCGCCTGCCCCTGGTGCCACCCGAGCCCACCGCGGCAACTCCCTATTCTTGCTGAACTTCCCCCTCCCGGGGATCGGCTCTGCCACCGTCCTGGAGACAGCCCCGACAGTGGCCGGAGATCGGCGGGACGCTCCCAGCTGTTCCCGTTCCGCGGCACGTCCCGGGTGGCCTCTCGGGGAACATCCGTCCCATACCCTCGCCCAGTCCTTGAAGGCTGTAGTTACTCTCAGCGCTTCTCCGACGTAGAGGGTGGAGGGAGGCTCGAAGTAAAATAAAAATAAGTGAAATAAAATCCCCAAATCGAAACTGCGCGGGAAGGCGGGCCGGGAAGAGGGCAGGTAACTCGTTTTGCAGTGGAAATGAGATGCCAGCCCTGTTCCCCCAGCCGCCCCTGAACCTTGCTCAGCCCCCTAGATCTGATGGCCCGAAGGGGGGGAAGGTGGAGGGAACCCCAGGGGATTTGCTCTGCCCTGGCTCCATGTTCTCTGCTCATGGATTGAAGCACAGGTAGCTGCAGGGGGTCATGAGCATGTGAGATCCTGGGGTTTGGACTCAGCCAGGACAGAGCAAGGCAGTAACTAGTCTGGGCTGCTACGGCCATGCCGCAGGGCTGCTGGTGCCAGGCAGAGCTGAGTCCTGGGACTGTCCCAGAGAGGGTAGCACAGAGGTGTCTCCCAGTGCAGGGCCTGGCTGAAGTTCCTGGGCAAAGGTCCTCAGGGCAGCCAGGATCACGTTTAACCGAGCTGCAGACCGCAAGCAAGGAGGGGACAGCTGCATGCCGTGGCACACGTCTCTCACAAGGCGCTCTGCTCCAAAACCCTGCTCAGGGACCCCAGCGGCCGAAGAACTCCCTGTGTGCTCGGCGTGGCCGTGCTCCAGCTCCGTGGGACGCAGCTGGGAGCGGAGGGTGGGCTCATTTGTTTCCTCCACTCGGCTGAGCATTCGCCCGCGGCCGCTCGGCGCTGAGAAAAACGGCGGAGAGGAATCCCACGGCAGCCGGCGGCAAATGCCTTCGGAGGGGAAAACCAGGGCAAGCCGTGTTGTGGTACGGCCCCAGGACAGGGGATCTATCGCCCGTGGCACAGCCGTCCCCTTGGTAAGGGGGCTGTGAGCAGCGCAGCCCTGCAAGTGAGCTTTTTGGAAGGGCAGATGCAGAGCGCATCTTGGGTACCCTGTGCTCAGTCAGGAAACAAAGCCCAGCTCCAGCAGGGCTGGTTGGAGCACGGGACCGAGATAAGGAAGAAAGGCAGCAGCAAAGGAAACAGCCAAAGCTACTTTTGGGTCCAATAGTGCCTGCGGGATGGCAGGGCACAGGCAGGACCGTCGCGCCCCAGCTGCCTCCTCCTGCCCTTTGCATCTTGGAGTGAAGTTAAAGGAGCTCAGGCAGGAGGATGGAAAAAGAAAAGAGCCAACGTCTGTTTGTGTTGAAGCCATCCAGCATTTTTTTGCAGACATCAGCCAAGCGGCAGCAGCAATGCCATTGGTGGGAAGACGGAGTTATTTGGGGAATGCTGGACTCCGCACCATGAGAACAGCAGGGGAGGAGGTTGGTTTTAATTTAACAGGCCATGTTTACTCTTCCCCTCTCACCTTTGGTCTGTCTGAAATGTGCAATGAAAGTTCCCCCCGGGAGGAAGGCAGGGAGGAAGGGGCCGTGGGTGCTCCCCCCTCCTCACGGCTGCTCCCAGGGCCCCGGGCCGGCCGCTCTGCAGCGCCTGTGTGCAAGAAGCCTCCCACGTTGCAGACCCAGGGCAGGGATTTCTCACGCAATAAACAATCAGGCAGATGCAAAGCCTCAAAAAATACTCAGCTTTTAATCTGTAAACTTGCAAAGAGAGACCCAGGAGCAGAGCAGAGATGAAGGAGGCACCAGGGCAGGTGAGACACAAGCAGTCAGGTGCAGAGCCAGAGAAGATGCTGATGGGGACAGATGTGCTGGACAGTCCCTGACTCCTATGTGCAGTGCCATACCCTCCACAGCTGCTCTCTGCATCAATGCTTCAGTTACACAACCAAATATTCACCATCTGACTGCTCAGAGCAGTGGACAGTGTGCTCAAGGGAGCAACAGAGCTGGGCTGAGCACCAGGGATGTCCCTGAGCCCCACCAGCACCCAACAGAGCAGTTTGCTGGCTGAAGGCTCTCAGGCATCTGAAAGATGCCTGAAAGTGGGTTCCAGCTGCTATTTGCCAGCAGCAGGAAGGCATAGTTGTATTATATGGACAGTGACAGGAGAGAAACCCAGCCTGGCCTGGGAGGTAGCAGGGCTGAAGCATCGCCCCAGGTGATGCCATCATGGGCATCTCCTGCTTGAGGTTGGAGATGGTTCAGTGTGGAGGCATTGAAATGAAAAAGCCTTTTCTTTAAAAAAAAAAAAAAATTCTCTAATTTCTGTGGCTACAACATGGGGGAAGCAAAGTTTTTCCAAATTGCTGTGTGTACCAGAAGTGCCCCAAGCATTGCTCAGATGCTCCCAGGGGAATTTTATTTCTCACACCAGCTGTGTGGGCAGGGAGCAGGTTTGGCTGGACCCTTCCCCATCCCAGCCCTTCCCTCGAGCAGAGCCAGGATACAATGGGGACATCATTGCATTTGTGGTGGCAGGAAGATAAAAGCCATTGGCAGCAACCGCAGAAATGAGGAGCCACAGCTGAGCGTGGGCATTGGGGTGTGGGGCAGCCTGGGGGGACAGAGCTGAAGTTCCTTGGAGGGAAGCCAGAGCCTGACAGCACCAGGGACATGGGGGCTGTACCAGGCCCTTCCAGTTGGACAACAGCAGCACAGTGAGCAGGAATAGCTGCAAGGGAGGACAGGACTGGGGGCTGCAGGGAGGCTCATCCATGGCACATCTCCTCCAGCTGCACCAAGGATCCCTCAGTGAGGTGTGTGGCTGTGTCCTGCACCCTGCTCATGTGGTGGAAGTGATGGATCACCATGGAATGCTGGCCAGGCTGGCAGTCACCACACCATAGTGATTCCCACGATGGCACAGAGGTCATTGCTCTGCAGGGCAGCAGGATCTGAATCCTGGCACCAGGACAAGGGCCCTCCTCATGCACTCTGCTCCACTGTACTGTGCCATCCACCTTGGCTTGTCAGAGCTTGGTTCCCTCCGGTGCTTGAGGGCAGGATAGGGCCCAACTCTGCTTCACACCTGGGCCCCCAGGCCTGCCAGCTCCTCTGGGCCACCCTCAGGAGAAGGCACAGCAGCTGGTTTTCTTCTTCTGTGACTCGATGTAATCGTGGATCTGGAAGTGGGGCTCATCCAGTGGCTGCACCGCACGCTGCTTCAGCTCCCTAGAGGGGTGAGGCTGTGTTACCCCCTCCCACACTGTGCTGGGGTGTGGGAGGTGGTGGGGCTGCAGGGGACACCTTCCTTGTTCAGTGCCCTGGCCCCAGGTACTCACTTGGCAATGGCCAGGAAGGCCAGCTCCACGTTCATGCCTGTCTTGGCACTTGTCTCCATGAAAGGCACTCCATACTCCTACAAGAGCAGCACGACCCCATCAGTGGCCATCCCCAGGATGCCCTCCTGGCCCTCTGAATCACCCATGTAGCCTGGACAAGGCTTGAGGGTCACCCCCTCCCTGCCTTGTCCCAGGTTTTGCAGGACTGCTGTGCTGCCCTGCAAGAGCCAGGCAGGCCTGGGCACTCAGAGGGGATGGCACGGCTGCATGGGAACCCTGAGTGACCTGAAATTGTCTGGGGGGGCTTAAGTTGGGTTAGACCATAGCACAACTCACCCTGGCCAGTGATGCTCCATCCTCTGTCCTCACAGCTCTCTCGCTGCTCACATCAGCCTGCCAAGGGAAGAAAAATGTCCCCACACACCAGAGCAGCTGGCATCCTGGGGCATCTGGCAAACCAGCAGTGTGGGGTGTTCAGGGGGCTGACAGGAACGAGGGGCAACATGGATCCAGAAGTATCCACTGCCCAGAGAATCTGGGATCTGTGGAGCTTCTGGGACCTGGTGGCATTGAGGATATCAGGGGGAACCTGGGACCTGGGGACACTGAAGACCTGGGACAGTACCTGAGAGCATCCAGGACCCAGGGAGGCTCTGGTACCCTGCTGGGCATTAAGTACCCAGCATCATCCAGGATCTAGGGGACATCCAGTCCCAGGGGGAAATCCAGTTGGGCACTGGGCACCCAGCAGCATCTTTGACTCCTGGAGAGAATCTGGGACCTTGTTGGGCCTTTAGGGCTTGGGGTTACCTGAGGTCCAGGGGTGCATCCAGGCCTGGGTGGGCATCCCCTACCAAAGCATCTCGTTCGAGGAGCACCCCGTACCTGGCTCCTCAGGCTCGTGCTGCCACCCGCTGGCCACCGGGAACACTGCCCTCCCCGAGCCCCCAAACCCTGGGGACATTTGGGACAGGGGAACCACTCCGGGGACAGAGGAGCCACCTCTGCGCTTGGCTGGGCCCAGAAAGAAGCAGAACCCGGCAGAGGGTGCAGGCAGAGCCCCATCCCTGCACAGCCATGGGGATGGCAGGGGCACGGCACAGCACAGCAAACCCCAGGGTGGACGGGGACCCTGCACACACCTTATTGCCCAGCAACATGATGACCACGTTCTTCTGGGCATACTCATGGATCTCCGTCAGCCAGGCCTGTAGGGCAGCAGGACTGTGTCGGGGTGAAGGGTACTCTTGTCCCTCCCAATTCAGCCCCCACCCCTCAGCACCCCCTCCCTTCCCTCTCAGCCCTCACATCCCCTCAGCACCCCCATCTCTCCCCCACAAGGACAGGGATAATGACTTTTCTTGGCACAGGAATTATCCCAGCATCACAGATGAGCAGTCCTGAAAACGCCCCGTCTCCTGGCTACAGCCCAAGCCGTGGTTCACATCCTTCCCAAACCATGTTTTCTCCCTCAGGCATTCACCGTGTCCTTAAACAAAACTCACCCAGCCGTGCAGCATCCAGCCAGGTGCCCTGGGATGAGCTCCCAGCTGGCTGGGTCTGGCCAGAACAGCCAGTGCTCACAGGTAAAGCAGGCTCCCAACTGCTCCAAACAGCCGGGCAGCCAAGCAGGGCACCCGCGCTCCCAGGCCCTGGGAGAAACTCCCCCAACCCTTGGTGGGACTCACGCGGATGTTGTCGAAGGACATCTTGCTGGTGATATCGTAGAGCAGGAGCAGGGCTGGAGGGGAAGAGGCAGAGGCATTGCTGCACTGCAGGAATGTGCTCTGGATGGTCTCCCCATCCCTGCTGAACCCCAAACTCACCTTGGGCATCCCGGTAGTAGGCATGGGTGACGCTGCGGAAACGCTCCTGTCCTGCTGTATCCCAGATCTGCTGAGAAACTGCCCTGGTGAGAGCAGGGAGAGCAACCTCCCCGAGCTGGGTCTGCTCCTGTGGCTCCCAGCCCTGCCAGACCACCACGCTCAGCCTGAGGTGGGTTTCCATCTGGAAGTTTCTTCCCCCCTCCCAAAGCTCACCTGCAACTTCACCTTCACACCATCCACGGCCACCACTTTGTTCTGCAGAAGACAAGGAGAGCAGGTTTATCAGCCCAAAGCATGTGCATGTGCCAGCCAGCCCTGGTACTGAGCTGGCATTCCACAGCCCCTCAGTCGCTCTCCCTGGGCCAGTGGAAAGAAGCAAGGCTGCCTGTGGGGCTGGACATCGAAGCTTCATTGCTACAAACCGTGATCCTCATTGCTTGGCAGCTACAGGGACATCCCAGAGCAGCAACCGCTCGAGGCAGAATCAGTGGAGAGGAGACAGCAAGATCCCAGCCTGCCTTGGATCCAGTGCCTCGTTCATTTCCTACAGCCAGAGTCCCTGTCCTTGGCTCCCAAGTGCCCTAATGAGTCAGTTAATGACCTTGGCTGCCCAGCAAGCCCCAGGAACACCGACCTGCTCCGGCTCCTGCTGGGAAGCTCTGGGATTGCAGCAGCCCCCGGGAAGTTGGCAGAGCTGCGGAAGTGGGGAAGCATGGATGAACCACACATAATTTTGCATTTATTAATAACAGGTTGGTGCATTTTTATGTTTGCTCACCAAAAAGCCCTGCTCTTTCTGACACGACTCTTCAGCTCCCATGTGCTCAGGAACCACTGCTGCACTAAAAATTTAGCCTGTTTGCAGTAATTTAAGGGGTTTGGATGCTACAAACTGCCTGGGCATGTGCACTGGGTGCTGCTGGATGTCCTGCTCATGTTTTCTTGGTGGTGGAGCCTTGCTTGGTTCTTAAAGGAGGTAGAAAACACTGAGCTGGAGGGGCTACATGTAGCACACAGCTGTATCCAGCACGGCAGGAGGAAATCTCCTGGGTCAGGTTTGCAGCCAGGCTGGGCTGGGACCAGGAAAGGAAATAAGCATTTCCAACTGAGCTGGGAAGGCAGCTATTGAGGCTTAAGCAATCGCTATTCTCATCTCAGAAGCACAGGGGCTTCTCTCCAGAGGCCAGAAAAAAGAAAAGCAAATCTACTGAAAAGCTATTTTAAGACTCCTAAAGAATCATACTTGGAATCTGGAAAGAGAAGACCCCTGACCCCTATAAATAATTTGGTTGCCTGGAATTGTTTGAAATGGAAATTCAGCCCATGTGGTGATGACAGCATTTGAGCAAAAAACAAAAACATGCCCTAGGAGACTCTGGAGATTACCTAGAGCAGTGAACCATGAGCTGCTGGAGGGGATGCTTGCACGAGGCAGAGCAGGCACCTACGGGCTGGCAACACCTCTGGGGAGAGCAGCATTGAGCCCAGCAGTGGGACACAGCAGATTTTCCTCCTTTCATGACTTTATCATAAGGACAGGCCTCATGGCCTCTTCAAACCAAACCCACAGCCATCTTTCTCCCCCAGCCCCTGATCACCAAGCCCCCAGTTCCACCAAAAGCCAAAGACAGCTAGGGCAGCAAAAGTGGCAGCAAACAGGAGCAGCTGCAGCTGTGGGGGCAGAGGAAGCTCTGACCGCACTTGACAGGTGCCGGTGGCTGTGGGCAGAGCCCTGCCCGGGGACACCCCCGTGACTTCCTTCCTGCTCTGCCCTGTGCTGCAAACAGCTGTGCCTCCCTGGACACCCTTAGAAAGATCCTGCAGCTGAAATTTGGTGAGCAGACAGCAGTGTGGAGGTTTAAACAGAATCTAGTAACCCTAGCAACTTCTCAGCAGCCTATTTCAGCCCTTTCAAGACATAAAATTACAGCAACCTGTGTTTGTCCCCCCCAGCTGTTGGCTTTGGCCTTCATGGTGGAGTGTACTGGCTGTCCAGCACACACCCCCAGACCATGAACACAGCTGGGATGGGCTAAACCTAGACTCTTTGCTGATTTAAAGGTAAGAGGCAACAGTACCAGTGGGCTCTTCTGTCTGTTACTGCTCTCCCAGGGAGGGGTGGAAGGGTTCCAGCAAGAACCTGCAGCTGGTTGGGAGATAATTGGGGGTACAGAGGCTGGAAACCCCCATTCTCCCTGCCCAGCACCCTGTCCTGGCCAAGGTGCAGGTGGAGGGGGGCGAGGGGCTGGCAGCTGTGGTGGTCTCACCCGGAAATCTATGCCCACGGTGGCAATGAACGTCCCGGAGAGAAAGGCCCCGTCTTTGAACTGGAGCAGGAAGCAGGTTTTCCCCACGCCCGAGTCTCCAAGTAACATCACCTGCAAGATGGGCGCAGGGAGAGATGTCAGCAGGACAGGGAGGGAGCAGCACCCCTGACTGGTGCTGAGCCCTCCCCAGTTCCTTCTCTCCCTTCGTTTCTCTCCCCAGGGCTGGTCCCGATGTGTCTGGAAAGCCCCGTGGGGGCTGGGTGTGGGTGGGACCCCTGAGGGTGCGGCCAAGCAGTGCCCCAGGGCAGCAGGGCAGCCCCCAGCCATGGAAGAGGGGGAGAGCTGGTGTGAAAGCAAGTACTGCAGCAAGAAGAGATATCTCCTAGCCACGCCCTGGCCATCTCCCAGCGCAGCAGGCTCCTAGAGAACCAGCCACAGCTCCCAAATGCCCCTGACCCGGGTGTGCCCAGCCCAAGGGCTGATGCATGGCTTGGGCAAACCCTGCGTGTCCGGGACTCTCTCCCTGTCAGTGCCTGCTGCAGACACCAAAGTAAACATGGTGCCTTTCCCCTCCTGCTAAGCAAACAGGATCAGCCCAGGCTCTCCAGCCACTCCAGCACCACTGGACTCAGGCAGGGAGCAGCCAAGACCAATGCTGGGCTCCATAAGCACAGCCTTTCCCAATGCTGTGTTCTTTCTGCCTTCCTGCAGCAACCTGTTCCTGCCCAGCAATCATTAACCTGACTGCATCATTTTTCACCCTTATGAAAAATAGCAGTGAGCAGGACTTCAGCAGGAAGGTCCATCCCTGCATACCCACCTGACAGGATGCTGGAGCTTGCAAAGTAAACCTCTGCAGCCCTGCTGCCCCTGTGGGCCATGGCCACCTTCCACAGGATGGCACAGCAAATGACAAAGCTGGTGGCTGGAAATGCTCTGCCTCCTGCTACCACTTTTGCTGGCCAAATCCTTCCCCAGGACTTGTGGGGAGCTGAGGACACTGCTCAGTTCTGCCTCCACCTCACTCTAGACCAAGCTGAAAACTGTTTTTCTCCCTCAAACATGGAAATTGCCCTCCATGAAGAGGAGTCAGAGAGGGGAGGATAAAGGCAAAGGAATAAAAGCAGTTTAGAGAAGGTGACAGCGTGCAGAACCACTTTGGAACCGGCTCAGTGAGGGAGCAGGGGGTGTCGGGGCTGACACCATCAGTGCTGGGCTCAGCCTGAGGCTGTATATTAAATTTTGGGGGTAAAAGGTTCATCAGTCCCGTGCTTCCCCTGAGCTGCTTGGATGAAGAAGGTGCTTCCTGGGGCAACCCTTGCCTAGGCTGGGGTGGGGAAGAGGGGGGCACTCAGAAAGGAGGCCTGGCAGGGGTGCAGAGACATTCATAAGTGGCATGCTACAGTGTGGGTGAAGGGGGCCCTGGGCTGGATCCAGGGCTGAAATGCTGTTCCCACCTTGGAGCCCTTGGGGTGCTGCGATGGCCTGGATGGGGTCCTGCTCCTCCTGCCCTGTGCCATGGTGGGCACTGTTGTGGGGCTGGCAGGAGCCCCTTGCCCTGGAAAAGGTCTGACGGGCTTTCGGGGGGCAGAGTTCGGCCACGCTCCTCTTCCCCCGGGAGCCCCCCAAAGTCCTGTTCCTGAAGCTGGTCCCTCCTATGCCACTGCCGGGCAGGGACACCCCCGGGGCACAGACGGCACCCTCGGGACAGGGACGCTCCATCTCCACCTCCCGGGAAGGAAAACCCCAATCCCGGCACCTGCTGCATCGGGGGCTCCCGGGGCAGAGGAGGGATGGGGGGATCAGCTGCGGCTGCCGCCTCCTTCGCCTTCCTCCCCGTTTCGCGGCCGCTTCCTGGGCGCGATTGCAGCAGCGGAGGAAGCGGGCGGCCCTCGGGACCCTTCCTAAACCCTAAACCCCTCCTGGTCTCCCCCAAGCCGGGGGCGAACCCAAACCTTCCGCTCTGGCAGGGCTCGGAGGGTCCATCCCTGCTCCCCCCGCGCCGCCTCCCACCTTGCCGGACAGCTGGTAATCCCGGGGCAGCGCCGGGGGATCCCCGCTGCTCTTCGGGGGTTCCCCGCTCTCCCCCGGGGTCTCGCTCCCCGCCGCCCCATCGGGGCCGCCCATGCCGCGTCCGAGCGGAGCCGCCGAGTCCCGGCGCCGCGGGACCTGCGGGAGCTGCGGGAGCTGCGGCCCCACCCGCCTTCCTCCTCCCCCTCTTCCTCCTCCTCCCCGGCCGATGCCACCCCCGAGGCCGTGCCCCGGCCGCCTCCCTGCCCAGCCCGGGCAAGGGGGGGGGGGGAGGAAGAGGCTGAAGAGTGGGAACCTGTCCCACTGCACCCCCGCAGCGGGGACCCCGCGGTGCTGGGGTTTGCTACCGGCTTGGCTGCACGGGACAGCGGGCAGAGCCCCGGCACGTCCCTCCGGACACGGGCGCGGGGAGGAACAGCTCACCCCGCACATGAACAGTCACCTTGTCCCTCACAGAGTGTGGGGATGGACACCCCGGCGCTACCAAATCCCACCGTGCCACGCCGGCACAGCGGGGATGGCAGCTCCCAGTCCCAGCCCCCAGCCCACCCCAGGGTGGGGGTTTGCCCCCTCTGCTGCAGCCCCAGCGGCGCTGAGCTGGGCTCGGGTGAGCAGCGTGGAGCCGGGAGCCGTGAGCTGAGCCGAGCCGAGCCAGTGCCCCGGCGCCTGCCCCTCACCCGGGGTGGCTGCCAGGCCTCCCGCTCCCCCGGCTGCTCGCAGCCCCCTGCATCCTACACCAGCCACTGGGGCCAGCTCATACTGCACTTCATTTAGGAAAAGCCCAAGCATGGGAATGTGGGAGAATTCCCTGGAGAGGGATGTTTTGTTACCCAAAACCCCACCCCGTAAAACCTCATATAAATCCATGAACTACATCTGGTCAAAGTCTTCAGCCTTACAGGCATCACTTCATGTATAGGAGCCTTGAGCCCTCCCCAATCTATTTTCCCAGGAATATCTCAACTCATCTCATCTCTCCCACATCAGGGCTAATCTCAGGGCAGCCCCCATCCCTGCTCACACCACTGGGATCCAGGGGTGCAGGGCTCCAGTGCTGTGCCCCTCTCTGCTCTCCAGGTGAAGGCCACATGTGGTTGCAGGAGGTCCAGTGACAGAGATGCCCTCTGGAATGGCATCCACCTCCTGCACCAGCCAAGCCCTCCTCTGCCCCCCGGGAAATAGAACCTGTATTTCCAGTCCTGTAACTGCGCTCAGACCCAGCTGGGGGATTTATAGTTTATATGTGCTCTATGGCCAGGAAAGTGCCCAGAGCTGGAGGCTGGTAGCTTGGAGCTCCTGGAAGTGGCTGAGCTTCCCTGCAGTAAGATGGGGAGGGGGCTGGAAGGATATGGAAAACCGTGCTGGGCAGGAAAAATGCCTGGCTGAGCATCACTTCCACACACTGGCATTTGCTGCCAGAGAAACAAGGCAGCCGGGAGCTGGAGGAGATCCATGGTGTGGCTGAGCCTCCTCTGTCTGCCCATGGCTCAGGCCCCTCAGCAGAGGCACCTTGGCTGCTGGTCCCTGGGCTGCTTGGCCCCAGACCATCACCACTGGGGCCACATTTTCCTGCTTCCTTGGCCTGGACTAAAAAGAAAATTCCTGTGGGTAATCGCATCCCCATACGTACCAGCCCCTTGCTAAGTTCCAGCTTTGTCACAAGGCTGAAGGGATGACAGTCTCTCTGGAGTAAGGTCCCAAGCACTGTGCCTGTCCTGAGCTCTCCCAGGAGAGGGGACACACACATCAGAGCCTCTTGAGACCCCACAGCAGCTCTGCAAATAGCTCTGGATGGCAGACGAGTGCTTTTCCCAGCACCGTCACCATCTGCCAGGGCCCCAGGCTGGACACAGGCAGGACACAGGCTGGCATCTCCCTGGCAGAGCAGGGCAGCTCCAAAGGCAGCTTTCTGTGTGTGAAGCACAAGGCTGCACTCGGACACGGCCCCACCAAGGGATTTGGAGTATGGAACTTTACCCATCCTTCATCCCTCCCAGTGGTCCAAAGCATGCCAAGAAGCACACAGCAAAACCAAAATCCTCCTCCAGCAGCACCAAAGCAAAGTATCCAATTCTTTGTGCTTACCACAGATTCACAGATCCTGATTCCCCAGATAAAGCTGCTCCCCAAGGGTGAGTGCACAGACCAAGGACCAGGGACTGGGCTCTTACCGTAAACCCAATGCCCACAGTGGCAGAGAAGGAGCCAGGAATGAACTTGCCCTGGTCAAACTGGACCAGCAGTGATGTCTTCCCCACGCCACTGTCTCCAACCAGGATTGTCTGCAAGGACCACATAAAGAGGCATCAGTGCAGGTGCAGGTGATGGGGGAGCTGGGAGCCAGACATTTGGGTAAGTGTGCTGGGGGAAAGTGGCAGCAAATGCAGTAGGATCAAGAAGGACCCACCCAGCCCCTGGATCTGTCATATTTGGTTCTGCCACTTGCCCAGAGAGGAATTTCCACCCCTTTGTCCATCTCTATAATTAATGAAATGTTCTCTGGGATGAGCTTCAGGTCTGAAACCCACTGGACCCTGTCAAAGAGAGGAAAGATGGGAGGGAAAGTAAAGCACAGCCTGTCATGGAGAGTGAGCAGGAGAGAAGCTCCTACCCCAGCTCAGGAAGCTGCCAGGCAGAAGCAGCCTTGGCTCACACAGGCCTGTTGGAAAACCTCTTTGGGAGGACTTTGGAGTCACTGGATCAAGTCCAAAACTGTTTACTAAAGAGAGCATCTCCTGCAGCTACTGCACACAGCTGCTGCCACAGCCACACAACCTCGCCAGGTCACAGCCCTTGTGCTGCCTTAATGTCAGGGACCCACAGCACTCCATCCTGGCAAAGTGATGGGTTTGAAATCATGGGGTCCCTCTGCCTCTCCGGCCTCCATGGGAAACCCCAGACAGCTCCCATCCCTGAGCAGAAGGAACAAGGGAGCTGTGCTGGTGTCAGAGCTGTCACCTCTTAAGCAGCTCCCACACTGCCAGCCCATGGCCCTGGTACCCCTGGGGAGCTCATCTTCCCTTCTGCTCCTACCCGTGTCCCTCAAAATCCCTGACCTAAGGGAGACCTGCAGTACACACAGAACCCCTCCCTTCCCTCTGCTGGTATCTGGGTTTTGTTCACAGAGCCACTGGCAAACATTCCCATCCTTTCAGGAAACTGAGCCACTTTCAACCCTTTCACAGGACACGAATTAAAAATAAACACTCTGCTACCAGCCTTCTGGTGGTTTGGGCTTTGTCTTTCAGGACAGGGGTGTTCCTGAAGCTGCAGTTCTGGCAATCATGGTGTGTCCCCTCTGTTACTGGTCCCCTGTCACTCCTGAGACTGCAGGAATGAGGCAGCGAGGTGCTAAGACTAAACCTCCCCACCCTCTGCATCCACCTCTGCTACACTTGGCTGCATCTGTTTTACCTCTGTTTGGTTTGTGTTTGTGCAGCTCCAGCAGCCTTGCTCCATCCTGCAACACTTCAGTCCTTTGACTCCAGCCTGAAGGTGCTTCAGTACCTCCCCAATATGCAGGGGAGCCGCTGTGCACATCTGGTCCTATCTCTCTCCTGTCCTGAAGTGCCCTGGGGTGAGACCAATCCTGGCACTACTTCAGGCCCTGCACTTTCCCTTGTGAAACACAGGGTGAGTGTGAAGGAATGTTTAATCAAATGCCTGAACAGCCCCAGACCTGATTCCATACACTGGGAGGCCATGTGGGCTTCACAGCCCCTGGTGCCAAGATTCCTGCACCCCACAGATCCCAAAGAAGTGGGCTGAAACCAAAAGCCAAGGAGCCTGAGGACCCCAAACCATGCAGGGATGTGGGACTGGCAGGAAATCAGCATCCTGCCTTGCATAAAGCACCACCCCACAACCTGCCTGGAGTGTGCTCACACTGATACACTTCAGTGAGTGCTTGCCTCAGTGAATCAGCACTTTCCCTTGGAGAACTCATCCCAAACACTGAACCTGTCCTGGGAAAAGCTGACCTGCTGAGCAGAGCTGTTGGCAGGAGGCAGCCCTGCACCTCTGCCAGATGCAGGCTGCCACACAGGCCTGTGTGCTGAGAGGCAGCAACCTGTGCCCAGATCTGCAGGCAGAGATTTCTCCCTCCTCCCTGCCTGGGCTCTTTGCAGGTCACTTGTACATTCAGAGCAGCCGCGTGAGCTGGGAGCTTGCACTGGGGGAATGTTGGGAGGCAGAAATCTCTGGGCCAGAGGAACTGGTTCACCCCTTTCCTGGGGGAAATTTCCCTGCCCAAATCCTCCTTGGCTCTTCCCTAGGGCCCAGAACTCTTCCCTGTGCAGAGAAAAGGATATGCCCAGGAACAGCTGGATAGGAAAGCACTCCAAGAATTCATTACCATGGGGCTCCTGCACCTCAGTGCTGTATAATTTGGTGTTACATACTGTTTCCAGGTAAAATACTGATGCTGAGATGTGCAACAGGACTGGGTGCACCCTGCAGTGCTGTCTTTGGGAGCAGTTAATGCAGAGAACAGCATTAATTATGGAGGGAGAAGAGCTGGTTGGAATGAGCACCAGAAAGCCTCCAGAGCCCAGGGTTTACAGAGAACATGTATAAAAGGCAGATTCCTCTATTAATAATTTAAATGGGATTCATAATAGAGACAACCCATGAATTGCTTCATGACTTAATAATAACAGCAAAATTTGGCCTGGAACCACCAAGAGATATTCCTAATGACTTCAGGAAAAGCTCATGGGCTGTGGAGGGACAGCACAGTAGAAATCACTGTGGCTGGTCACCAAATAAACAAAAAACAAGAACAAAAAGCCCACTGTAGGGAAGATGTGGCTTATTAGCCCTTGAAATCTCAGGCCGGACATGACTGAGTCATGATAGTAAAAAGTCTCCCAGAGACAAAGTTCCATAGCTGTCCTGACTCTTCCCCCATCCTCAGCCACAGACAGACCTCCTCCACACCTTCTCATCCCCCCCAGGTTTTTTGTTTCAGAGGTTTTTTTTTTGGTGGTTGGGTTTTTTGTTTCCTTTTGTTTGTTTGTTTGTTTGTTTCTTCTTTTTTTGGGTGGGGGGGTAGATTTGTTTGCTTTTTGTTTTTCTCAGGGGAAACTTAAGTAAAATGTTGGAAGATTCCTTTTGGTGCTGCTGATCCTCTCTGCCTGGTGGTGTGGAGATGGAACAGTGCTTTCCCAGAGGTAACCTGACTTCTCCACCACCCCACAGTGCCAGAGAAAAGCAGGTCCACCTTGTAAGACCCTCCTGAAAAGACTTGTCTGCCTGATCTGCCTTAGGGGAAGAGCAAATATCCCTCCCTGCACCTTGAGTTAGTTTTGGGGCTAATTCTAATGTGGATGGATCACTTCCAGTCAGAATCATCGCTGGCTCAGCATGGGCTGCAGGGACAAGGCAAAATAATTCAAACTTCCCATACTTGCAAGGAAAAGACACATTTTGGTCTAACCTGCCGATGGAAGAGAGGTTTTGCATGGCTGTCAAGGCAGCACAGGGAGGCAATGGGTGCAATTCCAGTGCCAGCCAAATGGGAGATCTGGGACAGTGCATGTGGGCTGAGGTTGTCTTCCCAGCTCATTTTCGAGATTAAACATTCACAACCTGGGCCTGAGCTAAATATAGCTAATGGAAGCCTGGTAGGGTAAAACCCCAGTCAGGGGAGGCAGGGAAGGGAGAAGTGCCCTCCACAGGCTCTGGTGTTGCTCTCAGGGAGTTGATGAAGCCCCAGACCCACAGGTTTGTGCCCAGGTGAGCAGGATTTATCACAACAATTTGTGATGAATGTGTACGTCCCCCAGCACCGCTGCCTGCAGAGCTAAAGTGGGACATAGCACTGGGAGAGGTCTGAGGGTGAAGACATGTCTGCTTTCAGCCCCTCACTGCCCCACTCTTGTGGCCTCTCAAGCTGAGACTCTCAGTCCCTGAGACTTATTTTTAACCTGCTCTTTATATAAAATTGTGCTGCCTTTCCCCTGCTCCAAGCAGTACTCCAGGGATGGAGTTGGATGATGCTAGAAGCTGCTATGTGCCACAGGAACAGTTCAGGGCTGTCCCCACCTCCCCAGACACTATTTCACCATGGCCAAGACACTTATACCAGCTTGAGAGAGAGCCTGGAGCCCTCTGCCAGCCTGGCTGGGCCCTTGCCTTGGCAGAAGTTATATGTCAGCCCTGCAGACATGAGCTCTAGGGCTGTGCATCAAACAAAACCTGGCTCAGATAATGCAGGAGATCCCTGTTTGCAACCCCTGTTGACACCTTGGATCAACTATAGACAAGGAACACATCCCTCTGCCTTTGGGTCTTGCTCCAGCTAATGGACCCAGGAATCACAGAGGAGGAAGAATGAATTGGCAATGGGTCAAACCACCTGAGAGCAGAATTCATCATTTTGTATCAAGCAAAACTTCTCTGGAACAGCCCAGAATAAACCTCTGCTGTTCCTGCTTTGGTTAGCTCCGGGCCCATTTCCCCCCCAGGTCTGGGTTTAGCCACCAACCAGAAATCATTTAATCCTTGCCTCCAGACTGCAAAGCTCTCTTGAGGTTTTTCAACACATCTGAAACGTGATTGCTTGCTCAGACACAAGATCTAGTGAGGTATTTGCTGCCTCACTTCCCTGGAGTGAGAGCAGCCTTGTTTCTGCAAGACAAGCAGCCCAGCCAGGGGAGGCAGAAAAATATCAAGGGAAACAGCAGGGAATGTGGGACTGGAATGGTTATTTGCCTGGGCAGGTCTTCTGCCCAGAGCCTCATTTCCACCAATGTAATTCCTTAACTGCTGCAGCTGCTTCATGGAGAAGAGAGAGTTAAGGCTTTGCAAAGAATCAAAGTTTCTCAAGTCATCCCTGGAGGCATGTTCTATGTATTCCATGTACAACAGAAATGAGAACTGCTAGTAATTGATATTTTTCTACTAATCAAGGGCTGGGCACCTTGCCCTGAATACAGCAGGATACAGAACAGACTGGGATTTGTGAAGAGGGATCCACAGAACCCCAACCCCAGTCCTTCTCCTGTCTTGTCCCATCCCTGGTTTTCCCGAGGGTGGCAGTTCCTGCACAGTCACTGGGGACTGCAGGAAAGCAGTGTGAGGACAGCAGGAAGGAATGATGGGTGGATCTGTGATAAATCAGCACCTCCTCCATCACTCCAGGAGTTGCAGGGCAGTGCCTGACTGCAGAGAGCAAAATCCCTGCTGCTGCTGTCCCCACAGCAAAGCTTGAGCACCCCACATCTTGCAGAGACACCACCAAACCTGACCACCCTCCGTGCCATTGCAGTTACAAAACACAGTCCCAGGAGTTACAAAAACACAGTCCCAGCAATACTGCAAAAGAGGATTTCAAAGCAAGAAGGGCAGGAATGGACGTCTCTGGGACACGGCTATTTCATGGCAGGAAAGTTCCAGCTCATTAATCTCCTTCTGGCAAACAGAGCCCCGGGGTTCAGCTGCCCCCGACCCGCCCTGAGCCTGCCAGGACAGCGGGAGCGGCTGAAGGGCGGCTGCGGGCTGTGCCGCGGGGCTGGCCCCGTTCCAGCAGTCCTGGCTTCCCAAACACGCCGAATCCTGCCTACCATCAGCCAGGATGTGCTGGGACCGGGGCCAATCCCTGGAGGCTGCCCATGCCCACAGGGGGGACAGAGCTGCCGCCGCACCCCCACGGCCGCACCGGGGTGAGGGTGAGAGACGGACCCCACCGGGAGACAAGGAGCGAGGAAGGCAGAGGGACGGAATTTGTCGGGAAGTTCAAGCAGGAGCGCTGCCCTTTCTCCCCCCTCTTCAGCCCCCTCCCGGGTGCCCCCATCCCCATCCCCATCACCTTGTGCAGCAGTGCCTCGTTGTAGCCGTCCCCCCCCGGGCCTGCGGCGCGGGCCCCCATGGCCGGGGGGGCTCGGGGGTGCCCGGGCCGGGCCGGGCCGCCCCTGCAGCACCGCGGGCAGCGCCCGTCCCGCTCAGCACCGCGGGCAGCGCCCGGCCCGGTTCGGCCCCGCAGCGCCCGCCCGGTGCGGCGCTGCCCGGCCCGCTCCGGCCCCGCAGGACAGCGCTGCTCGGTGCTCGTCGCCGCCACTCGCAGGGTTCCCCGCCCGGAGGAGGCGGGGGGCAGCGGGGAGAGGCCGGTCCCGCCCGGGGGCGGGGAGGCGGCGGGAGCGCCCCCCCCGCCGGCAGAGCCCGCCGGACTCCCCGCACAACCGCTGGTCCCTCCCCAGCTCCCCGCCCCATCTCTGTGCACCGCGACAGAGCCCCCCGACAGGGCAGAGCCCGGGGATCCCTGCCGTCGCCGCCGGGAATCGCTGGCCTTCCCTCGGCCGCGGGAGGCACCCACGGGGCACGGCCAGCCCTGGCAGAGAGATTTTCGGTACCAGCTGCGATCGGTGCCGGGCTGAGCACGGAGCCAGGCCCGCTGCCCTGCTCCAGCCCGGGTTCACAGCAGGCTCGTTGGCGCTTCAGAAGTCTCCTGCTCGCACCGAGGCTGCTCTGGCTGACGCCCTGCAGACATCGGCCCACAGAGCCCACGGGAAGGATGAAGCACAGGGCAGGATGAAGCACAGAGCTGCGTGGCCACTGGCGTGTCACCCCAGGGAGGGGCAGCAGCTCGTGCTGGCCAGGCCACCTTTACCAAACTGGTGCTGTGCATGGTTTATCCCGACAGGTCCACTTTGGGATTCCACTGCATTCACAGAGCCCAGTTAAGCCCCTGCTTAGAGTAAAAAAAAATTATTAGAAACAGGATGAAGCTGTGCCTGAACCTGAGGGTGACAGTCAATATCTTGTTGAGATCCTTTTCTTTACAACTCCCTTTAGAGCAATCTGATGTTGTTCATTGCACTGGAAATAAATTAATCTTTACTCAGAAGTTTATTTAAGAGAGACTCGATTCAGTCTCCAATTCCCTCCTTCAAGAGCAGCAGATGGCCTCAAGCCAGAGGAACAGATCATGCTTCCAAGAGCCATCTGCACCCATCCGATTGCTGTTTGACTGCCTGGGCCTGACATTGCTAATTATATTTACCCATTATTTCTTCTGACTGCAGAGATGGTTCTGCTGGGTCAGACGATTGGACTCAGAAACAATAGCCAGAAAAAAATTTTAAAACCAATAGGGACAGTGGGGTTCAGGCTTGCCTGAGGTCAAAAAGCCCAACCCAACCTAACCCAGACCATCCTGCAGCCAGACCATGGCCTCATGCACTGGAACACAATCAACAACGCAAAAACAAATGATATCACAAGCCCTGGTGTCTGGATCAGAAAATAAACAAGTGCTTCAACATAGTGCACACACCCCACACAGGCAGGGCCAAGAAGAAGAGAGCAGCAAACATCAGGGGGTCTTCAACAAAGCCAGGGCAACTCTTAAACACACCAAGAACTTGTCAAAACTCCCAAACTCCCATTGATGTTTACATAATCCTTCCTGTGGATGTCCCAGTGCTGCAATGGCCCATTGAGGATGGAGATTTCATGCCACCATCCTGAGTGCATGCTCAGCCTTCTCCTGCCCCAGAGCAGGGGCACTGCCTGACCCAAGCTGTCTGCTGGGCCCCACAGACCCCAGAGACCCAGATCTGCTGCAGGGACTGCACAGCTCTGCCCTGGACACCCAAACTGGGCAGGTACTCAGACAGACCTCTCCTGGAAGGTGGGGGTGAAGAGAAGGACAAGCCCCCAACATCTCACTAGGTCTGAGGCTCTAGGTCTGTTTTTCCCTGGATTGGAATTTCTGGCAGGTCCCTGTTGCAGAAGAAGCTCTGGGGCTGGAAACCATTCTCTGACTTTTTAGCTCAAGCAGCATTTGTTAACTACCCTGAGTGACAAAGGAGAGCAGGGAGGGATTGAAGAGCTTCACGGAGCTAATGTGTCCATTCCCTCTGCAGGCACTGGCGTTGCACCAGAGACACACTCGGCCCTGCAGGCTTAACCTCACTCAGCAGGAAGACAATTCTCCTGTCTGTCATGGTATCTCCAAATATACTGCAGCCTAATGAGACAATACAGATTGCTGGCAAAACACAGGCACTAGCATGCCCTGGCCCTGCTCCAAGGGCTTTATCCCACTTTATCATGCTGGAGGACCTGACCCATCGTAGATAAGTGATAACAGCAGCTTTGTCAGAGCCCAGCAGCCCAGCACCTGCATCACTGCCTCCCTTTACACACTGGGGAATGCATTTCCCCAGCACCCAGAGCAAACCACTTGCTCTACTAGCCTTCCCCAGACCCGGCAGAGGTTTCTGGCAGCCAGTGAGCAGTTTACAGCCCCAAGCAAGTGCTGACCAGCTGAAATCAATGCAGAACAATGAAATCAGAGGAAATGACCTGTAAATTGCAGTGATTCCAAATAAACCTGCAATTTAGATCCATTGTTTAGTGTGTCTGCTCACAGACTGTATCTCTGGTAGCTTAATTACTTGTGTATTTGCCTTGAGAAGTACAGCTCTAACAGTGGAAGACTTAAATCCAGCTCAGGAGCTTCTGCTTCACTGTCCTCCTGGCCTGCTTCTGCTTGTTTTCTGCTGCCCAACCCTATTAACTGCTGTAGTAGCTCCCTGGATTGCCTGTACAACACATCTGGGGGAAACTGGAGCCTTGCTGAAGTCATTCCTTCCCCATGAGCTAGGCAGAAATCAGAATTTCATCCTCTGAGTCCACTGAGTATGGATTCTTAATTTCTTTGCATTAAATAACCCCTGCCTTGGCCCTTTCTGGCTAAGTCCAGCCTCAGGTGGAGCCCAGAGCAAATCCTCCACCACCACAAATTCGGTGAGTATGTTTTGCCACCTTTACTGGCTTTGCTGAATTGGGAAATCTGGGAATGATCCAGACTTATCTTGGGTATCTGAGATGACAGTGGAAAGAGAGATCAGACAGTGCCTGCTAAGTCAGCCAGCACTAAAGGAGTTACAATATTATATTCAGCCTTATCTCCTAAGGACAATTTCCCCAAATTTTAAAATCTGCCTGTGAAGAACAGACTGAAACGACCTGATTATTTTTCAAAGGACCTAGTTTAAACAACAGAATTGGGGATTGGAAATATCATTGAAGTCCAGGGAAGACAGGACTCTGGAAAGGCTCAGCTGTGGTGTGGGTAATATAGTGAGATTAGAACTGGGGAAGATCTGTTCTTGCTGGGCCCTGAACCAAGGAGATGCACGCTCTGTTTGATTCAATTACTGCCTGTCCCAGAAAGGCTTTGAGGCTTTTTCGTAGGACCAACACCAGAGAGTAAACCCAGATTCATAATCTTGCAGAACTAGAGCGAAAGCAGGGTCCGATGGCGTCGGGCAGTGTCCCGTTGCTGCAGAGAGACTGGGAGCGCTGCCCAGGGGCAGGCAGGGGCTGCAGGGGCCCAGGTGTCAGCTCATCTCAGCCTCTGTGCCGTGCCCACAGCACATCACGATGGTGCTGCCGGGGCTCTGACACACTTTGCTCGCTGATGCAGCCACCGAGCCACGCGAGGGTGCTCGCTCCAGCCCCGCATCAGCGCAGACCAAAAGGCAAATGGATGTGCTCCTGTCAGGGTGCGTTAGCGGGATTTCTGAGGAGCATTCCAGCAATGCTTCTTCTCTAACAGAGCAGCCTTGCCCTGTGCTTCCCGGGCCTCTTTCTGCCTAAAGAGAGAGGTCTTGGCTTGCAGGATCCTGCCACAGCCCCCCAAGATGCTGGTTCAGAGCAGAGTGCCTTCCCCTGCCCTGTTTATCCATTCTCCCCGGGCCTCTGGAGCACCTCAGCACCCGTGCCATGGCTGGAGGGTGTCAGGGGGGCTCTCTGCAGGGCTCTCCCCACTTTGGACAGAGTGATTCCTCATCATGCTCTGTTGTACAGATATGCCCCTGAATTGCTCTACTCCCTTTCTGGTTTCGCCTTCCAACTGACACTCACTTTAACTGGGCAGATCTTCCTGTGACAGACTTCTGTGTCAGCACTCTGGGGTTCCTCATTCCTGCCTGCTCTCATCTTGACCTTCTGCTCCAGGAGGATGTTCACACACTGCTGTTTGTCTGGGGCTGAGGCACTGAGCTGGAGCCATCCCCTTTGCAAACCCCTCATTGACAGCCCCCGGACAGTGTCTCACACAGCAGATGAGAGGAGAAGTATCAGAGTAAAACCCCATGTGGGAGTCACAGTGCTGATGTTGGGTTGCTGTAAATGACTGCTGTGTCCTCAGGGGATGGAAGGAGATCTTCCACTGACACAGTCAGGAGCTCTCTGGGGTATAACACAGTCCTGGGGACTGCCATGATGGGGAGAAAGTGGCCTCAGTCTGTTCTGGGGGTCCAAGCCCCTGCACTGGACTGGGCAGCTGCTCATCCTGCCCAGGACACAAACCTGGGAAATAGGGAAATTACACCTCACATCTGATGGTGATGTGATAGTAATGACACAGCATGGATGTGGCTTGAAAAATTTCCCAGCAACTCAACCAAAGTGGCTCTTTGAAGAAGTGCTTCTGTCTGCTTTCAGGTAACTGAGCTGCCCTCAAAATCCTCATGCAGCAAATACCTTTGTAGGCACCTTCCCTCTACACATTCCATCCAGAGTCTCTACCTCCGAGCCACTTGTCCCAGTCCTCCTCTCATGCCAAGGGAAGGGTGGGAAAGATGCACTGTGATTTTTCCAGGAGTTACAAGGATGCATCCCCACGGAAGATGAGGTGGCTGGAGTGGGAAGTGTTTCAGCACAAAGCAGATTTGCCATCTCCAGCCACTTTTTAAATTTAGATCTTGGTGTTACTTGCAGCGTTTTGGCTCACAACCAGTCAGCTGGGAAGGAAGGAGTTACTTGATGACCCAAAGGGAAACCCAGAGTTTCCTCTTGCCATGGCAAGGCATTGAGAGGGAAAGGGATTCTGAGGTTTGTGCTTTCTGCTCTTTCCAAAGGG